TGCCTGTTTCCCATAATCATGCACGCAATTACATTGAAGACTTTTTGGATAATCCAGGATTAGCTTTAGCTCTCAAGATCCTCAACTGTGACAGTTAATGTTGTTGGTCAACTCAATTGGCTTAGATATGACTGGGAAACTTCTGAGTGTACCTGTGTGCCATGAGGACGTGAATCTGGTCTTTTCCTCTCTGGGTTTTCCCATGCTCCTTGCTATTTGAATGACACGAGTTGAGCATCTTTTCTCCACCAACTCTTCTACCTTGATGTTTTTTTCTTCCTTGGAGCCAGCAGACCATAGACTGAAAACCCCCAAACTATGGGCTAAAATAAACTTCTCTTCTTTTAAATTGTATCAGGTATTTAATTCTAGCAATGGGAAAGCTGACCAATACATTAATTTAATCGCTATATATGCAATATTAAGGTAATATTCACTCACTTGCCTTATCAGGTAATATTCATAATGTGCAGAATAATGAATTCATTATATCTGTGGTGGGGACACTTTTTAAAACTGATCACATTAACCAAGAGTGCTTTTGCTCGTGCAACAATTGTTCATAAAACCTTTTTGCAAAAGTGAAAATGCTAGCAACTTTCAGAGGTGTATGAACACTCTTCAGGCACTTTTAATCTCCTGATTATTTGTTACAGCTGGAAATAAGCAGCAACTTTGAACTTTGTAGGAGAGCTTAAAGGAAAGCATATTTCTAGGCTCAAAGGAGGGATTAAACCCATTTTCATAATACCTGCAAGAAATATACACAAACTGAAGCTTTTAATAATTATTTTTGTTTCCCTTCAGAAGTTGTATTAGAAAGACTGTTGATTGCTCATAAACTCTTGGGAAAATAGGAATAGATGTAATAGACCTACAGACCTATAGGGGATTGCAGTAGGCCTAACATCAGTGGGTCAAACAGAGTTTTTTAAATAAATCATGTTGGGAGAATTGTACAGTAACTTTGGAAAAATAAGGTTAGGTACGACTTGTATATCACACAAAGAGTAAACACAAAAGTGGTCAGAATTCTAAATGTAATAAAATGCAATCAAAATAGTAGAAGAAAGTAAAAAAGAAGAAAGTATGAAAGAATTCCTGAATAAATTGGGTTCGGTAAAGGGTCCCAAATGTAATAAAAGAAAAAAAAACTCATAAATTTTGACAACACAAAAATTTCTTCCCTTTCCTTTTTTAAAATTGCATGGGAAAATGCAGTCAATAATGCTAGTGCAAAATATAATCACAGGTAAATGCATCACAGGTAAAAGTACACAGCAATATTGATAATTTAAAAAAATTTAAAGGAAGAAGCATCATACACCATCTTACAGAAAAGTGGACAAAACTTTTTGTAGGGGATTCTCAAAAGACATATACATATATTGTCTATATAGAGGCAGTAATAATATTACAATATGCATGGTTCCATTCATGCTAAGATAGAAATTATCAAAATGCATGACAATACACTTGGTTGAGGATATGGAGAAGCGGACATTTTCATGTGTTTCTGATTGAAATACAAAATCCTATAAAGTTACACAGAGGAATTGTGATTATTTAACATATGCCTTCAATTTTTAATGAATTAATCTTTTTATCCTAAAGATACATCTTCAACTATTTGAAATTGCAAATACACAAGGCTATTCATTACTTCAATATGTATACATACAGGATACTGACAACAGCCTAGTAATAAAGTTTAGATAAATAAATCATGGCATTTATAGACATATACCTGTTTAACCATGCAAAATTAGGAAAAATAAATAACATCTAAATTATAAAGAAATATGTAAAATTGTCAGTTTCAGTAACATGATCTTAATATAAAAGAATAGGAAAACAGATCAACGAACTCTTAAATCTAATGTAAAATTGTAAAACTGCAGAATAAAAACCAACCTACAAAAAATTGGCAGCATTACTTTTCATCAATAGTAAATTAGCTGAAACACACGAATCAAGAAACCAATCCTACTTACAATATGAAAAAATATAGGAATACATTTAATCAAAGAGGTGAAAGATATTTACAATGAAAATTGCACTAAATATTAGTGAAAGATATTAAAGAAGATAAAAAATGAAAAGATATCCTAGCTTATGGAAACTAGAAATGTAAACGTCATTAAAATGTCTATATACTAAAAATTATAACAGATTCAGTGGAATCCCTACCAAAATGCCAGTGACATTATTTTGCAGAAATACAAAATTATAATCATAAAATTTATGTGGAACCACAAAAACCCCTCAATAGTCAAAGCAATTTTGTACAAAAAGAATAAAGTTGGGGGCATTGCTCTTCCCAACTTTAAAATATATTATCAAAATCCAGCAACCAAAACAGCATGATTTGGTATAAAAAAAAGATACACAGGCTAATGAATCAAAATAGGAATCCCATAAATAAATCCATACACTGATAGCCATTTAATTTTTTAAAAAGACATTAAGAACATAAATTGTGGACAATTTCATCTTTCTTCAGTAAATGATGCTGAGGAAACTACATATCCTGACTTAAAGATAAATTCAGTACTGTGACATATACTAACACTTTTAGAATACTCACCAGCCTTCCCATAAATTTTAAATATCTTCAGAATAAAAATTTTCCTTAATTTTGGTAGACCTATGAGAAAATACAAGTTTCATGAAAACAAAGATACTTTATCATTTACACACTCCACCTAGAATATTCAACAACACTCAATGTTAAAAAGTGAAATGAAAAGAAAGCAGTTATTAGTGTGTGTTCATGAAAAATTACAGAAGTGCCAATAAATGACAAAAATGTCTATAGCTTGTAGAAGCTCTCAGTATGTATGTGCATATCTAGCTCTACGCCAACCCTGGTCTGACAACCTCGTGTCAGAAATACATAGCTTTCATCACTAAAATCAACTCCCAATCTCAAAGCTATTAATCATATTGATATGATGCCAAATATGGTTTATCTTTTTGAATTAATAAAATTAACATCAAACTATTATAAAAAGTAAAGGACAACAGCTTCTTGTCTTAACTATAATTTTCTTAGAAAATAATGTAGACTTAATGCCTTCAGATGTATTTAATCATCTATCCCATTATTTCTTTCACAAAGAATTTGTTGGTCAAATTTAACATGTCAGTTATTTAAATGAATTTTCGTATAACTGTGCCTTATTTCTTCCAGCTTTTATTTTATATGAGTTCGAAGATGCATCAGTTTAATTTGGATAGCTTTCAATTTGCTTAAATTGTATAGCTCAAATGACAGGATTTACTCTAGCTTTTTAAATAACAGTACTTTATAAAGACTATTACGTGTGAAGAATGAACACATTTTTGCTGTGAAAATTCCATTTGATTGGGTAATTAATTTTTAGGCTGCCTGAAACATAAATTTACTCTGAAATTTAACAATGTTTTCCCACCACTTGGGGGAAGCAGTGTAAATGATGTATTTCTTAGGTTAAATGTTTTATATCATAGTGTTGATGTTACCTCCACATCTGCATGTCACTAGCTGTCTGTTACCTTCACATTGCTGGGACACCTGTCACTTACAAGTTAAAGAAGAAAAGTTTATTTCAGCTCACAGTGTGTAGAGGTTGCAGTCCTAAGTTGGCTGGCTCCAAGGCAGGGCAGCATAGTCCATGAACAATTGCAGGAAACAGCAGGAAGCAAGCAGCAAGCGGCAAGCAGAAAGCCTGCCTTGTTTCTGTCCCTTTCTGTTCTATACAGCTTCGATGCTTCCATTATCCACACCCAGAGCTGTACTAAACCAATTTAGTTATCACACAGCCTTACTCCCAGGGTCATGCATCATAACCCAGCATTACACATGATCCAGCCACCTCTCAAAGCGCCGCCTGTGAGTGGGTGGCGCATTGGTGGGACATCTAGCTACAAGGCATAAACACTGTACTTTTTACAACCCTGACTACACTGAACGGAAAATGTTCAATGGTCATGGTAATGTATAATAAATCCTAGTGGTGAATTTACTTAAAGACCGCAACTGTAGTTATGAATAGTCTTAAAAGATATTATTTAGTATTTAGGAATGGAATGTTTTCTGATCATAAATATTCAAATAGAATCTCACTTCACAAGTCTGTTAATTATTCTTGATAATTACAAGAGATATTAATTACCTAGCTAGAGGGATATAGAACAAGACTATCTCTCTATCAATCATCTATCTTCTTATCTCCATCGAACACCTATGTATCGTTTCTGAGTGTGAAAACTTTCATATTTTCTATGTAAATGTCTTGGTTTATACACATGAATTTTTATTTCCATAGGGCAGTGATTTGTGAGAAAAGGAACATTGTCTTTCCATGCCTTTATGGAATTATGCTTCCGTTGGTTTCAGGTCCACATATATAAAATATCCATTAGCGATTCCGCCCAAAAGCCATTATTCTCAAAATTATACTTTACCTGTAAAATCATATTCTCTTCATTACTGACAGCAGATGCTAGTGATGTTTCTGATGAGGTGGGAAATAATGCACACTTAAAATGAACTATAATGACAAAAATATGGAATTTATGTCAGTTATGAATAATTACTACATCACTAACCAGAAGCTTTTCTTTTTAGTTTTAAAACTAAGTGTTATGCATATAAATCACTTGTTTTGCCTCATAGTGACATTAATGATGATTATTCTGCTTGTTGATAGATGTAGCAAACTCATTTGGAAGCATGTTTCACCTTATTTAAGATTCCCTTGATCTGAACCAGGAAAGGAGGAAGCTGAAAAGGAAGATGGAGAAAGACCTCAAATTCTTTCTTAAAAATGCAGAACAAAATGTATATATGAACGTTAGAAATATAAAATAAAATGATTTAAGATACTTCCTGTGTTATGAAAATCAATACGCTATAATTTTTATTTCAAAAGAACTCTGAGCACTTGAGAATCAATTTCTGCAGACCATCAATAAAAAGTTATTGAGATAAATTATTTTGTCTTCCCCCGCCCCAGGATTGACATCTTTAAGTATGTGATCTACGGCATTGCAGCTGCATTCTTTGTGTATGGCATTTTGCTGATGGTGGAAGGTTTCTTCACAACTGGTGCCATCAAAGATCTCTATGGGGATTTCAAAATCACCACTTGTGGAAGATGTGTTAGCGCCTGGGTATGTTATATCCCTACATTCAGTGTTTACTGTGGGTTTATTTCAGTTGCACAGAAGTATTACATTAATCTGTCAAAAATTGAAGTACTCCTCAAAGTGATATTCCATTCTGTAATGACTGTCTTAACCTTGTGAATATTGTTTCTAAAATAAGATTATTCCTTGTTCTGTTTCAAATTCTAAAGTTGTGTGAAGTATGTTTTGTTTCTAGGGACAAAAAAAAAAAAATCTATTTGTTGGTTTGTGAACCAACCATTTATTTCAAAAGGTTTAAGTGTTCCTATATAAAATAACAAAAATCTATCACAACTTTATGGGCAATGCATGTATCTGAAAGAAATTTCTCCATCTCTCACTATAAAATTGGAACCAATTATATATGTAATTTCTGTGTATTACTGACTTAATTATATTGATGCTGGCCTTCAAACTTCATTGATATGCTACTTAGTAGTAAATGAAATTCATAGTCACACTCATGTTAATGCAATACAAACAAAGCATGTATATGTACAAATGCATATGTATGGTGAAAATTACATAATATGGTTGAAAGTACTTCATATATTTTATGCAGAATAATTTTCGTATAATAAAACATTGGCCCCCTCCATTCTTTTTTTTTTTTTTTTTTTTTTTTTTTTTTTGCGACAGGGTCTCACTATGTAGTTCAGACTGTTCTGGAACTCAACGTGTAGCCCAGGCTGGTCTTGAACTCTCAGTGATCCTCCTGCCTCAGCCTCCCAAGTTCTGAGATTACAGGCATTTGCCACGCTTGGTGGCCCTTCCATTCTTGACTGACATAATTTTCTTTTTTTTAATGTTATATGAGAACATATGCTAATTCAGTATATAATTTCTATGAGGTATGATTGAATAATATGGTGCTTCAAATGAAAAATTTTATTACAGTGAAAGACCCATTGCCATCAAGACACTTTCACTCTTACTGCATTATTCTTGACATTTTGTGAGGCAATACTTTTGTTTGTTCCCTTGCGTCTGTTTCGATGTCCTGCATCAGTTCTGTATGTTGACATTTCATGGTCATTTTGACTTTGGGGAAGAGCCAGAAGTTGTATGCTGTGGGGTCATCTGAATAAGTTGGATGAGGACACACTGCAACATTTTTATGAGCCTTGCTTTCCACTCAACAGCAGTTTCACCACATTTAGTCACACCTCATAAAGACATTTGTGAAAGAGGACTTCCAGAACTGCCTTGGAAAGAGGCAAGAACAATAGAATAAATGTGTTTGTAATGAGGGAAAATATCTTGAAGTAGTTTGACAATGTCTTTTACTGTAAATACATTTTATAGGTTTAAGCAATAGCCATATATTTTGATCACACTTCATATTAAATAAATTGTATTTAGTAATGACATAAATGACTTCAGTCTCATAGCAAAGTTCAAAATTCCTGTTGACAAACTTGTTTTTTTATCTGCTGTAACAAATTCTGTGATGCTCCTATGTATCTATAGGTATTGATAGTAATCTGATAAGATCTTTTGTCTAAGTTGTGGATACTTGTACTCTTTTTGAGAATAATTTCTTTAGGACTCATCTGTTATATTTTGAGAAAAAACATATTGTGCTTAAGCAAATACATAAATTTGAGAAAAGCCAAAATTTCAATATCGTAACTGAAGGGCTTTAAACTGGGCCTACATAAATTTTTTAGATCAGTAATGTCAAAATATAGATTCTAGAGGAAATTTAGATGCATAGTTATCTTGGATTTATGAATAAATGAATATTAGTGGGCCAGTTCTGAGTGATACCTAGGGAATTTTGTAGTAAAGTGGATTTTCTAGTAAGGTAAAATTTGATTTTAGAATAATTTTTAATATTTCTGAATTAATTTCATAATGAATATTTAAATAATAGGCATAGTATTTTTGTAACGTTGCTTGTGAACCTTAGAAATCCATTTAACTTCTGTGGATCACGGTTTTGTCATTGACAAAATCAAAGTCATCCCTAAAGCTCAAAGTCCGTGATGACAGAGAAGTTAAATAGTAAATGAGGGATCTGTAAACACTTTTCACTAACAGAGAATGCTCTTTCACCAGGACCACTGCAGTTAATTGTGCTCTGTCAGACTTGTAAAACTGGTTCACAGCAGAAATAATCACAGAAGAAAATATATATCTATGTATAGATAGTTATTAGCCTCAAATTCAAATATCTATTTTTCTACTGGTACTGGGGATTGAACCAAGCATCTTCAATGAGTATTTTTAAAGCACAACTTGTCTCACATTTTTTTATTGAAGAGTTGTAATTATGTCACAATCCCAACCAACAGACAAAAGAGTAGCAGCAGCGGCCCTGGCTCCTCCAAGTGGCTAGGCGGTAAGAAGTAGGCTCCTCAAGATATCCCCACCCGCTCTCCCACCACCTGTGAGTGGGCACACTGCAGAGGCAGTGTGAGCGAGCAAGGCCTCTGAGTCGTGCTGAGTGAATCCCAACATGGACATGATGGAAGGGACCAGCTCTTGGGCTGCATGAGCACATGGGGGGGGCCTGCAGTGGGTACCTTGCTCAGTCCTGGCACAGCAGCATGCGGACCTGCCCTCTACCCTGAGAGTGCTTGGCACTGTGGCTCCATGGAATCAGAGGGAAATTAGAAAAGATCCATCTTCTGCTTACTTGTGCTATCTCTTTACCTTTCTTCCCTGTTTCCATTTTTACCTTTTTTCAATTTGTGGATAAATTGCTTCTTCTAGTTTTCATTAAGTTCATCTGTTAACCCATTTTACCTGTCTTTCTCACTTTAAAAATGTCTATGTTTTGAAGTTGTACCACTGCATTTCTACTTAGAACATTGAATAATACTGTGGGATGTAATAAGTTGCTTTCATGGTGCAACTATCTGCAAAGCTCCCTGAATTAATACTGAGACATTTATAATTCTATCCCTGTTTTATTATGCTGCATAAAAAATAAAATGCTTATTAATTGGAGCTACATCAACACAAGTGCAATTAATGTTATTTCTTTATTTCTTTTCATTTTTGAGTCAGGGTCTTGCTATGTAGTTCAGTCTGGCCTTGAATTCACCATATGGCCTGGGCTGGCCTCAAACTCCAGGTGATCCTCTTCCCTCATCTGCCTCCTGAATGCTGGGATAATAAGCATGCACCAGGATGCTTGTCTTACAATGAACTTTAAAGCAGAATTATATCATTGAGCACAGGATGCTCATCGATATTCCCTTTCCTTCATGAATACTTTTGGAAACGCAACTTGATCTGCATTATGCATTTCCATTTCCATGTCAAGGCCAATTCATTTCAAAACTGTAGCGCTGCCGAATTCAGAATGTGAGGCCCATGCAACAGAATGACAATATCAACGTTGGCAGTGAAAAATTATACTAGACACTTTATTAAAACATCACATGAAGTTATTACACTATTTTAACAAATACATTTATGATAAATATCAAATGGCATCAGGTAAAGGATATCAAACAATGCTATTGAACCTTTTAAGAATGAACTTATTAATTTTAGTATAGTCATGTATTCCCTTTAGCTATTTTTCCCTTATTGAAATGTAAACCAAAAATATTGGCTTAATTGCCATTTGTGAGGCACTTACTATGTCGTATTTGGGAAATGAGATATTTGTTTTATTCTTACATATTACTGTTGTGATATTATGAATATCAGAATTTATCTATATTGTTCTGATATTTACATTTTAATCCTAATACTGGTAATGTCATATGGGCTTGGGACCCAACATGTTGACCTCATTTATGTGAAGACCTTATGTCCACGTGAGGTCACATTCTGAGACACTAGGTGTCTCAATAGCACTTTATACACCAACACCATTTCATACCTATTTTTAAAGCAATGAAATGATTTTTTGTTACCTTGCACACCGATAAACAAATATATTCTACATTTTGACATTTAAAGACCTTTCCTGTAAACCTCAGATGTTTATAGATTTTGAACATTGCATATTAGACTAGTACGTGTACAATATATTTTATAGAATTACTTTGAAATCTATTCAGCATATCATAATGCAACTTGTGTGAAAGCTTGAAGTGAAAGTTTAGGCTCATCAAGATAATAGAAAAGACATGTTTGTTCGGTGTTTATATGTAGCACTCACTATCTGCATTTTACAGAATATTAGGGCATTTAGTTCTTCAAACAGCTATGTGAAGTACATGCTAATATTAAACTTATTTAACAATTGAGGAAGCTGGGTCCTAGAAAGATGAGTGAGTTGCCCTGGTAGAAAGGGTATAGTGGAACCACATTTGAATTCACGCCTCTGGCTAAAGCCCACGTGATAAGCATCGTGTCAGAATTCATATCATGGTTTTGTGGGTGTTTTGGGTTTTGTTTTTTTGTAGGTTTTTGGTTAATTTAATAGGACAAACCTTTTTATGATGGTTTTTGGTAACTCACCAGACACTTGTTTTGCATCTCAGTGTGATCAAGCTTTGGTAATCGGGAAGCTCCTTCACTGCAGATGCCCTCACTTTTATATTTGCTTTCACCCATAACCATAAATTGCCACCCTTTTCCAGTAGGAGGATGTTTTGCAGCATATGAAAAACTCTGTAGTCAAAGACACTTTGACCAGTATCCATGTCTACGTAGAGGCTTCATCAAGGAACTCATCATTATAGACCAGGGGTCCCCAATCCTTACCTCCACAGAGGAAGATGAACAGAAGCCAAGTGAGAAAAGCTTTTCTGTGTGTACAGTCAGGCTGCATTGCTCACATTAACACCTAAGCTCCAAGTCCTGTCAGATCATCAGGGATTATCAGATTATGGCAGGAACACAAACTCGACTGAACTGCACACACACTAAGGAATCTAGGCTGCCCGATCTGGTAAATCATCCAGTACCATCCCCACCTTCCTGTCCCTGGAAAAATTGTCTTTCACAAAACTGGTTCCTGGTACCAAAATGGCAGGGTGGAGCTAGTACTCTCAACTGTCCTTAAAGTTTAGTGACTT